TTACATTATCCTCACCGAATCCGTTCAGAGTTTCAAACAACGAGTCGATCAGCATTTTGATAGCCTGCGTTTCAACGCAGATGCAATGTTTAACCTTCTGTCATCATAGTGATACATCAGGGCTGCACTAGCGGTCTTGAATGACCAAGCTAATTAACTCCGCACCATGTTTTCATTGTTTTAATCCATATTTTCTGTGTGACGAACAAAAAAATCAAGAATGCGAACTTACACACACCAGCTCACATTGGTAAATTTGGTTTTGATTTAGTCAAAATCGAGAAAACATATGTTACAATCTTATTCACCTAATACAGTGATTCTGATTCTAAAAGGCGGGATTTTAGTTTACAACCTAAGCAGGTGTCCTTGTTACCATGAAAACTGTCAAAAGTGATTTTCTGCTTGTCAGCCCTGGAAGACAAGGCATGAAAATGACATAAGCTAGAAGGAGAAAACTGATGGGAAGTCTTTGTGAGCAGAAATTATGATTTGTTCAACCATTCCTGTGCCGATAATTCCGCTTAAAGAGGGTCAACGTAAGCGCGTTTGCTAGGTGGCAACTACCATGCTGGATGGTGCGTAGATGTAAAGGAACTCTCATCGTAAAGATGCGTGGAGCTAGAGTGATCCTAGTCCTCAGCTCCACCATAATGTCTGATTGTAAGGTAAAGTTGAATAAAGCTGATGAACAGCACAATTATCTGGTGTACCACACTGCGTAAAACTGGGGCCTTATTAAGTTCTGATGCGATTTGCAAGATCACGTAGAATCCAGTGATCAGTGAAACTTTGAAGTGGGAAAAGCATTAGGCATTGCAGTATTTGTGAGCCTAATTTCCTCCCGAAGGTGCCAGGTTACAGAGAAAATCTTTCTCTTATCACTAACATACATTTTATCGCTTACGAAAACGAAAATATTATTGGAACTAAAAATAGATTCAAAGTGATGCGATTTCCATAATTGAGTATCTCCATATTGACCAAAATGCGCATCGGGACAACAACCTAACTTTACATCCCTCCGAGTTTCACACCCAAAGTGCACACATGAGCCACTGTGAAAAAGAGACAGTTTACCAGAAATTGATGAATACCGAACGTGTAGGGGGTCATTTTGGACTAGCAATACTCACGTCGGCTGCCTTAAGGCTTTGTGAGGCTATGTGTAACATGTTGCAGCTTACGCAAGCGATAATCCAGGGTTAGCCACAATTATTTCGGCCAATACAAGTCCTTTAAAACGAATTGCTTAAACACCATACATTTACGAGATAGCTATCATGCTATTTCTATTGTTGACGCATGTGTAACACACCTGGAATGTTTTGTCATGTTTCGCCAGATTGTGGTAAACGCATGGAGTTAACTAAGTCCACCTATAGAACAGATCCAATGACATAGCGTCCTAAACAACTTTTGCTGGTACAGCATGTGAAAAAACGAGCATTCCATGGACGCGATGGGGAGCCGCATGCCTGCTAAACCGTCGCATTCCTTAGAAACACGCTAAAATGTATTGATATGGTTGGTAACATACGCTTTGGAATTCGCATTCTTCTTCTTCTTCTATTTCTACGTGCAATTAGTAAGGAATTACTCACCAGCATTTAATGGGAAAACCTGAGTCGTGTGTCCAGTTATCTTTATGTGGCATTGCCAGGAATGGCCGGTTACTTAGTGACACGCTCTGAGTAGCTCTTAACAACGGTAAAAAGCGAAATGATGCCGCTACGAAAGTCGAACTGAGCTACAAACAGAATAGCGCACGACACAGTATGCGTAAGCGCAGTAGGGGAAATAATGTTTGTCGCAATTAAGCGGGAGACATATTAGTTAGCAACACATAAGTGTCTCATTCTAATACGGCCATCAGTCTGTCAGCAAAGTGCCACTAAGATCCGTTAACAGCAAGGTTTGAGCAAGTGTCGCTTTCAATTCAGGCATCCAGTGTGGGACAAAACTGTTCGATGGTGTACGCAACGGACCTAAAAATGTATGGACGATTCAGACGCTAGAGTGGATATTCGAAGAACCACTCTTTAATGACTGCTGCTGATCGGACAACTCAAGATGTAAACAGTTGTTCGCAATTTTGTACTCGATACGCTAATAAAATTTCTACCGGGGCAATTACAGCGTCCACATTGATGAGCATAATAAGTGCGCGAACGTTTTTTCTCTTAAATACTCGGTAATTTCCAGCTCAAAATTTAGTTTTACAATATAATTAAATTTATACCAACTACGTCAGTTAAAGTATTCCAAACATTGTGATGGCCAAACTGTAGTTTCCACGCGACTGCAAAACAGTAATCCTACAAATATTTGCAGTTTTATTGTTATTAACCGGATCGGCATGGGTATAACGTATTGCCGGGTATCATCTAAAGGCTGAATGGAGGAACATAACGATCAATTATTAATCGGATCGCAAGTAGCATGAAAGGGTTTAAGTTCGATCTCATTCCACAGGTCTGGGAGCAATCGCATTACGGTCTGTGCCTGTGTAGCTGTTGCACAGCAGTAAGCCAACTAGAGATTTTGATTTCCACATAACTCTAGCTTACCACTTCGTCAGCTTCTGTCAGTGAGATTGCTGCCATGCTAGGTGATTTACCCTATGGAACTATGGCAAATTAGTGGTAAAAAAGTGATTGCTTAACAGGTTCTGTAGGACGGCACGAGTAAGAGTCACAACATGGTGAAAAGAAAACTAAGTGACAGAATGTATATCGTTTTTGAGGACATATCATAGTGTTCACACGGAGACATGCAGAAAGGAGCCATCCGCAATTGTGTAGCTTAGTGCCGGTTTTGCAACGTCTTTCACAATATATCTCGTGTTGTTTTACAAAGGATATATCCCGAAATGTAGGTAGGATAGTTCAACATCAAGGCGTTTTTTAAACGCAGGTAAAGTGAGGGTGGAGTCTGGATGGGCGTTCCATGGCTGGTACACATGAAGAGAGTAAAAGTTTCACCGACATTCCAACCGACTGTCTGGTGTAGTCAAATAGAACTGATGACCCCTCAAATTTGTGATGTGATTGAGTTGTGGTAGGTGGCAGTGAACGTGTTCAAGATTCATCGAAATCTGATAGACCGTTATTAGCTCGCCACTTCGGCGCTGATACCGGTCGTTGTACAATATTAAACACCTTAGCCTAAGGTAATAAGGAAGATAGAACGACCCTTTGAGGCGCTCTCTGTGACTCTTCGCTGTGAACTCTGGAGTGTTGCGAGACCATGCTTGTGCCAGGGTTGCCAGAGCTACATTGCATATTGCACATGAGGCCGCACGTATGTGTTAAGCACATGCGAACAAACAGAGGGATCAAATCCCCCGAACGCCCTCCGGAGGATGCTAACCTCTTGGTTTCGGGTCTTTGATGCCTTT